TGCTTGGCACAATTGAGTAAACGATCTTTCTCATACCCATGCAACACGCCAGCTGCGCTCCTGGCAGAACGCTGTGCACCATCTGGTGCGTCGCTTGGCGCCCAGTGCTCCGGGCTCCGGTGGTGTTGCCGTTCAGGAGCTCACCACAGGCTCGCATGTTTCAAGCGCCGATCGTCTGCACGAAGTTGGCCCGATTCCCACTCCCTCCGGCCTGATGCAGACGTCTGTTTACGCTGGCGACAAGGGCGACCTCCTCACCGCCCCACCCGAACGTGGCAACAAAGATACGGGCTCGATTCTGGCTAGTCGAAAGTCGGTCTGTGGCCACACCTCGGGCCAGGGGAGTGCGGCAGGCACCGCGACCGGCCAGATTAATCGGGTCACAGATGCTCACGTCCGGCTGATCGCGGCTCGGGCTCTGGACGGTGCTATCACGACAGCGATTGCCTTGCATCTCCATCGCCTCGTCTCGACCTCCGAGATCGGTCGGACGCGGAAGGTCAGTCTGTTCGGCTCAATCAACGAAGGCTCTGGCGAGTCGACAACCGGTAAGCAGAGCCAGCCGACCGGCCGGCTTAGCCTCGACGAGGCTGTGCTGATGCCAATTCGCTTTTGTCTCTCGGCTCTGTTGACTCCAGAGTTGGTCACTCGCGTCTGGACGGATGGAGTGGATGTTGAACAGTCCCACCTCGCCTCTTCTCCATCCCAGGGAAGTGGGTTACTAGCACAATCACCTATTCACCGGCACCAAAATCAGTCGACTGTCAGCTCACCACAATCTCTGACGCCACAGCAACTTAGCCAACAAATTGCTCTCACTTGCGTCAGTATTCTGGCCGGACTGGTGCACATTCGACCCTCGCTCTTTATCAACGGACTTATTAACAAGCCGCATATATCAAACACCTTTTTCGGACTGATTCAACCAGCCGGAGTGCAACAGACCAGTTTCTTGGCAAGTTCTTGGCTCTTTATTTCACCTTCACATTGCTCCTTGCTGACTTGGGCACTTTATCACATCCTAAAATTAGCCTCAATCAGAGGACAAGATCATTATAAGATTGCGTAAAGCTCGAAAATCTCTTTGCTATTGAACATTGGAAGCAATAGCAATCTAGGAGAGAAATTGTTGTCTCTTTTTTCTGCACATATTGCAGACAATAGGGTGCTTAGTGCAGGATCACTGAAGGGGGCAGGAGCAAACGAAACACGTTATGCAGAATTAGGGGCTTAGCAACCATTCTTACTTTCTGAAATAGTCTTTTGTGATCCATCTCTCTGCTACGATGTATTGGTAAGAGGCCGTGTCACAAAATGTTTGTATAGCAAAAAATGAAGAACAGAAGTTGCTTGCCTTTGTTTTGGCAATTTTGTCGTATTGTCAGGGGAACGTAAAGGGACGCACTTTGTCCCGAGGCCATAGCACCCATGATAATTTCCAGATTTGGACTTGGTACATTCTCAGACGCTTTGCCGGCATCTTATTGACCCTTACTATTCTTAGCACTACAATACTACTCTTCAAAGAGACTAGTTGTTGTAAATTTGGGCGACGCATCGTAATGCGCCTCCGATGAATCCGTGTTGAGCTTTCGTCTGACCCTTCATGGCAGACATCGTCAGAGCAGAACAACATGCTTTAGGTTGAAGATGTGAAGATCAAGATGTTGTGGCCTCGGGTATGGTCGCAGTCTCCTTTCGACTGTGGGTTGACCTCGTTGTCGCAACTTGGTCTTGTGTTCAGGGAGACTATGTAGAACGCACCGAGTCC